TCACCGGCATCCTTTAGATGGAACGCTGGCTTTTATGGACTCTAGTGCTTGTGTCAGGATCGACGGGGCCTACCCAGACTGGTTGGAATCCACAAAGGTATCAAGCAGAGCTTCCCCGTAGCTGGCTATTCAAACTGTATATAGACAATAGTTTGGAAACTTTGAAAGTTGAAGAATGTGTGTTCAGAATAGGTGTGTACGCTGACGTTTAAATCATATTTGCGTCATCATTCTTCGAATCGTATTAAACTTAATGATTTTTTATATTTACGCGAAGACTACACATAAATGAAACGGTTTATATCGCGTTTATAAATTAAAGTAAGTAAAAATTAATTTCATTTAACGTATTAAAGTTATTCAACTGACACTGCTGCATTCAGCCTGAACCTTGGAAAAAGAATGTGTTGTATAATTAAACAGATTTGCATTATAATTAACTAAGTGAACAACAGCTGCAACGCTATACAAATCTCGGTTAACATGTATGATACGCGTTTATCAAGCCTCAAGATAGCCTCAAGATAATTCTACTGCAATTAATGCAATTATAATTATGAACCGTGATAGCTCAGGGGCTAAGCGCTCTGTGTAAATTTCACGGTACGAGCAACCCGGGTTCGATACCCGCCGGCACCAATGAAATTGTTAATTGCAATTTTCAGTGCTAATTTACCACGTGTTTGGAGGTGAAGGAAAACATTGTGAGAAGACCTGCATGTTATTAAGACATGTGAATTTCGCCAACACGCATTGGGGCAGCGCGGCGGACATTTACTTACCCTAAAACCGTATTAGAAGTGGGAAGAGGCCTGTGTCCAGCGGGGGACATATATTGGCTATAACTTTAACTTTTTCATTTATATATAAATAATATATTATAGACTTAGCACATGGAAATTTAATTTACAACTAACTTAAAAACAAGTGGTAAAGTTAAAAATTTTGTGCAACCGACTTCAATATAAACTATTAAGTATAACTGAAAAACTATTGTATTTATAACAGACCTTGATCAAATTTATATGGGACCACTTGAGAAGCACCAACTTTCAAATAAAAAGTACCGCATGAGGTGGCAGTTTATAACGGATTACATTATTTTGGAGAACAAGGGGGTGATGGCGATAGGCCTGTAGTTGTACGGGTCTGAGCGGTCGCCTTTTTAGGGATCGGGTGGACAAGAGCTGTCTTCCATGATTTCGGGACTACGCCTAGGGAGTAGAAGTACCGGAAATACGCGTTAGAACCGGTGCCAACTCCGGAGCACACGTCTTCAGCACAATTGGGGGATTCCTTCAGGTCCACTCGACTTTAGATGTCCAGGGAGAGGAGTGCTTTGCGGACCGATCGCTGTGAGAAGTGCACATCCGGCGTGAAACACTCACACCACGGGATGGTCGGCGGTGTGTTCCCCCCGTCATCAAGAGTCGAGTTTGACGCAAAAAGGGAGTTTAAAAGGTCGGCTTTCTCTTTTGCGGCGTGGGCCAGTGAGTCGTCCTCCCTTTGCAGTGATGGTAGTGATGGCTTACAGACGGACAGCCTTGGCGACAGACCAGAATGCACGAGTTTCCGAAGGAAGGCGAACTAGTTTCTCGCCAATTCTGCCTATGTGCTCTGACTTTGCCCTGGCAATAACTCTTTTGAAGAACCTGGAGGCGAAATTATACTTCTTTTTAAGCATGCTGGTGTTTACATCCCGAGCCGCCAAAGTAATAATTATTTCACGAAAATTACTATTTACTTATATAACAAACAATTTAAATAGGTTTTATAATATAAGAAGACAAAGAATATGTACAAAGCATTTAATTCTAATACGAAAATGTCGAATTTTTGGTAAAGATGAAAAATATATAAGAAATTTAACTATATTTAAGTGCATTTATGATTAAAACAGTTGTATTGTTTAAGATATTCATGTTTATTATTTAAAAACATATTAATAAACTCTTCTTAGTATTAATCTTTCAAATAATTTGGCTATGTGCGGTAGCAACGTAATCGATCTATAACTAGCTGCTCTAAGACTGTCCTTCCCGGGCTTCGGCAGAAAGATCACTTTGCCGGGTTTCCAGTCCTACAGGAAGTAGGGAGTCCGCAATACTCCATTGCAGAGCCGACCTATCTCTACTAGTATTCTGTTGGGCTGCTGTTGATATGCTACGTTGGTGATCCCGTCGTGCCCCGGAGCTTTCCTCGCCTGCAGGTGGGTAACTGTCCTCCACAGTTCAGCCGGGGATATTAACTACTCTCCTGCAAGCGGGATTCCCGTACGCGACTCTCCTTTTGGTCATGAAGCTCCATAAACTCCGGACTTGCTGAGTTCGGCAGAAATAGCTCCTCGAAGTGCTCTGTTAGGATATCCGCTCTACCTTTGGTCTCGTAACAACGCCGGCCCGCATTGTTTGTCAGCGGGCAAACGGGGACTCTAGTTTAAGTTAACTGTCGGTTTAATTTGAAGAGCGACGCCTCTTGCCCCTCCGCTTTCCTGATATGCCGCTTCCAGGCCTCTCCTCTGTGGGCTTGGATTGCAACCGACAGTTCATCCGTCAGCTTCTTAAGTTGGGTATTTATTCTAGGGCAACGAGAGCACGCCCAGAGCTTCCTCAGCGCCCTTTTTTGATTCCTAAAAGAGAGAAAAGATGAGCTGTCGCGAGAAATACGTGCGCAGCTCATCTTTCCTCTTTGTTAGGGAGACGATCGTACAGACCGCTTGAAGGGCTTAGAACTCAGGAGAAATCAGGTCTTACAGCACCTCTACCCTATCAGTAGGCTTGCCAACCGTCCCGCTTTTCCGGGACGTTCCGCCTCTGGGTTAATTTTGGACCGTCCCGCCGTAACCCCTTGCGGGACGCCTTTTGTCCCGGAAATCAGTGATTATATGATATTAGTATCTATCTCGTACCAACTACACCTTAGCCGTAGCTTCGATGCCACTTTCAAATGCATCAGCAGAGAGAGTGTTTCCTCTCTGTGGAAATTCATGGACAGACAACAGAAATAATCTGTTTGTTGACCACGTCAAGGCTGAACTACAAATTAACATTAATTTTGATCAAATATGTAGTGAATTTTATAACCAATGTGTTTTTTTTCTAAGCATGTTGTATGTGGTGTGTTGTGTTCCGCGTAATATAGCCAAGTCCCGGATGTCGAGCTGGGTAATCCCGGAAATGCCTTTTTTGGAGTTGGCAAGCCTACCTATCAGGCAGTTGACGTTCCTAGTGAGCACGATGTCCAGAACATCCGAATCCCTTAAGGGTTTGACCTTGACGTTTCAGTGCGTATACGACATCCACTGCGGTGATGGTTTTTCTCTTCGCTTGCCTTTTTTATGTGACTGCGTCACAAACCACGTTCTCGAGGAACACCTTGAGTACACCGCGTGCCCCTTCGTAGATTAAACCGGAGATACGCTTCACACCACCCTGCGAGCGATACGTCTGGCAGCCGGTTTAATGATACCCTGAATGTTATCACGAAGAACCTTTCTGTGTCGCTTTGCTCCACCTTTCCCCAAACCTTTACCACGACCGGTCATATTCGCTTAGAGAAGAAACCCAACACTGAAAATAAAATAACAAACTTAACGTACGTTGCGAAATGCGAAAGCGCGACAATTGCGATAAAATTCGAATACTGCTTATATATATATATATACACCGTCCTCGATAGAGTCACTGACGGTAGAGACGGCTGCAGTGAGGGTGCGGGAGGTATATAATGCCGGGGGGGTTAGTTTTTGATTATTGGCGTTGCGGAGTAATATTTCAAATTTCTTTTAATCCTTAAATGATATAGCAATATTATCAAGAAAAATAAAATAATATATTAATAATAAATAATATATCGAATTAGTTAAATCTACTTTATTTAACTAATTCGCTATATTGTAAATGAACGGATTTCAGTAAATGGAAGAGTGTGCTATGTACTATGTAATATATATATTTTAACGGTGGTAGAGCCACGCGGCAGCTTTTGCTGTTGCACGTCTGCTTCAGCGTTTCGTCTGATGAGTGCAAGTGGCCGGAGGCCCAATCCCCCTTCCCCCCTCCCCCATACCCGTACCCGCACTCCTGGAGAATCCCCCGCTGAGCTCTGGAGTGGAGCTCATGCCCTGCGTATTCTGGGGGGGGGGCAATATTCCGCTCCAAACAATAACTGCACGGGGCAAACTGAGCAACAAGACCAAGGCGACCCCCGCCTCGCTATCCGTGCATTTCTATAACATCAGGGGAAATCACTCGAACCTAAACGCCATCCACTACCATCTCAAGACGGCGAAGCCGAGATGCAGGTGTCTTCTCCGGCTGATACTTCGTATCTGTCCCAACCGGAATACAAATTGGAACACTCTTTTGTGCCTTTTAAAGTTGCCACCGCCTGCAACTTTAACTCTAACAAAAGGCGCAGCTACGGCCTCACGTGGAATACAATTCCTATCTCTGGGCTGGGGCTTCACTGCGCCAGCTTCTTTCACTTGGCCGCATCCAGCGCAGAGCGGCTCGAATCGTCGACGATCGAGTCCTTTCAGATCGGCTCGATTAACTGGCGTTGCGAAGAGATGTTGCATCCCTTTGCATTTTCTTTCGCATCTACCACGGGAAGTGCTTTGAGGAATTGTTCGAATTATTCCCAGCTGCCAAATTTCAGGAACACACATCGTGGCAAAACTCTGGATATCATCCACAACGTCTGAATGTTTGGCGGTCCCCTTCTGTACGTTTCACTACGATTTCTTCCGCGTAGGACCTCTCTGTGGAATAGTTTACCACCGACGATTTTTCCGGACCGATACGACTTAGGGACCTTCAAGAAAAAAGCTTACTTCTTTCTAAAAGGCCGGCGCAATGCACCTGCAATTCCTCTGGTGTTCCAATTGTTGATGGACGGCAGTAGTCACTTACCATCAAGTGAGCCGTATGCTCGTTTGCCCCCTCTCCTAAAAAAAACATATTCACAAGCTGCTGCGAAAGGTAAATTACGCAAAGCGTATGGGAGCCGGCGCTCCAATGTACCTGGCAGCAGTCATAGAGTATCTCTCCCCTGAAGTTTTCGAGTTGGCCGGTAATGCTGCTCGGGACAATAAGAATACCAGAATCATACCGAGGCATCATCAGCTTGCCATCCGCAACGATGAAGAGTTGAACAAGCTCCTGTCCAGAGTGACGATTGCCCATGGCGGTGTACTACTTAACATTCAAGCGGTCTTTCTGCCCAAGAAGACCGAGAATAAGGCCTAAAAATGTGTGTACACCCGTTACTACACCACCTAGACCCAAGAAAATGGTTGAGAACATTGGGCGAGAGAATGCGTCGACGTTGTCGGTAATGCCTTAATTGTACGTGTAGCATATTCTTTTTTACTCTAGTATAATGGAGTATTTGCCGTCCATCGGCTCTTCTCTATTGCTCTATTGTTCCTGGTACGTGATTAAAAGGTCCTTTTCAGGGCCACAAATACGATCTATAATTGATAAATTAATTTTTCCCTCGGATCTTCCTTTACCTTAATATTTTTTGTATACCATAGTTTTCTATTGGTAACGATACGACGAAAACTGTATTTTTATTAATTTTCATGCGATTAAGATAACGATGTTTTAGTAAATAAAAACACGCTAATAACGCGTATATTGGGTTGCTTTAATTTATTTTAACAATTTTCTTCCTTTTTGAGCAAAACTATGAGCAACTATGGCAAATACAAAAAGGCCTATCACAACAGTAGACTTTTGATATGCTATTAAAAGGTATACTTAAATTTTGTTACTGATTCGTAAAATACCTGGGAAGATCCAGCAAGAAACTCGGCAGAACTTTTTGATATAGTTCACAATTATGTATTACTAGCTGTTCCCCGCAACTCCGCTTCAATTGCAATTGCAATCACGTGCAATTTTTTTCGCGGAACCCTAAAATAAAAGTAGTTAAAGTTACTTCTTATAACATTAGCTATCTGCCAGTTAAAGTCCCATCCAAATCGGTTCACAGGTTTTTGCGTTTATGTTCACGCCAAAATAGCTCGCCGATGACAGATTTTTTTCAGACTTACTTAACATTTATCGTTATATTTTGACCAATTTACACAATATCTTCATGAATTATAGCTTATGTGCTATTCTGATGTATATGCTATATTATTGTAAAGTTTGATTAAAATCCAGTCAGTAGTTTATGCGTAAAAGACTAACAAACATCCATACATCCTCACAAACTTTCACATTTATAATACTAGTAGGATAGTAGGCTATTGTCTGATCATTTAATCATATTAACCATTATATATACATCATAAGTAACAGCTTGTTAATGATCATCTTATTCAATTTTGTCCAATATACATAAAATATTTAAATTTTGACGCCGTTTTCCATCATGTGACACATTTCAGAAAATGTATATTTTTGTTTGCCTCTCCACTTTGTGTTGGATGTGTTTTACATTACTCTCGGAAAACAGAACATCATTGGATAAAAAAAATATTTGCAAATGATCCATCTTTTTATTTAATGTATTCAACAAATTATTTACTTTAAATAAAACTGTTTTTCTTAATGTCTGTTTTTAAATCATTTCGATTTACTATAAGTGTTCTTACTTGCACGACTTCTTTGTGGAATTATTTACCATTTACGCCGAACCAATGAGACTTATATATATGCAAATAAAATATTATTATTATTTTTTGGGTATACTTAAAGTATTCTCATCTGATTGGGCTAAATAAATATATAAAAGGAAATGATAAATATATATTAAATATACTAACATAAAAAAATAAAAAATACATGAATAAATAAAGAGGCCAAACGGCTGAGGGTTAGGGGGAAAGGGAAAAAAACCGGCGGACGATGCGTGCGGTATCGAGCAGCAGCGTCTTCTGCATTTGAGCCCAAAGCGGTCCGTCACGGAGTCTCGGTCGCCTGAGATAATCCGAGAGGCTGACCGGGATTAGCCCGTTCGCAGAGACGACTACAGATATAATTTCGCCCGGCAGACCACCCCACATGTCGGTCACCTCGTGAGGCCCAAATATTTTGTCTTCTTATCTGTTTCCGCTTTCACGAGTTTCTCGTCATACGGTATGGTAAAGTCGACCAAAAATATTCCTGACTGAGTCCGGTCTATCAGCACTCAGGCTTATTCGCAAGAATAGTCCTGTCTGTGATGATGGCCCGGCCCCAGTAGAGCCTGGCGCGATCATTTTCGTGCATAGTTTCTTATAATAAGGCAGTTTCCGATCCACAGACCGTATTTCAGAGCGAGCTCCTGGTGTAGAATCCTGGCTACTAGGTTGTGTCTGTGCAAGGACCTAGAGTTAAAAAGCGCCGAACAACCGGAGGTGACATGCCTAAGTGGCTCACCGGGACGGCGGAAAGCTCGACAGATTTCGACGGTACCATCCTTTAAGGTGTATCTCCGATAGTTGTTGGTCTTATTAACCTAATCCTGTATCGCACATACAAAACCCTCGATTCCCCCAAAGAGGTCACTGAAACGTAGTCAGTGGAGGGAGGCAACTGTATCTACGAAAGGCTCATGTAGAGCCTTGTAGAAACTACCATGGAGCTCCTTCTCCTTCCATACGGTCTCCCGGTCGGAAATGCTCTGTACTGCCGGGTCTTGCCAATGCTCATTGGCAAGACCCGGCATTTCATATCCTTAGTATAGAGGGGTAAGTCCTTTATCACAAGAAATGACGTTCTTATAGAATGAATCATGCGATCTCGCCGGAAAGTAATTATGGAGGCTGGACACTTCGCGAGTTTGCATGGTGAGCGCGCTTAAAAAGCCACGCCCACTATGTTTCCGCGGCAAGTACAGCCCCATTATCGACGATCTCGATGGTGCATCCTATGGGACGTCATGGTAGTGCAGACTTTTCTATCCAGAGCGTTAAGTTCAGTTTGAGTCCACCTGAATATTCCAAAGGTATACATGAGGACAGGCATGACCCAACCGTTATATGCATGTGTCTTATTCACGCTCGACAAAAGGCTGTTAAGCACTTTGGTCAAGCGTGCAATAAACAGATCGCAAACTGATTGTTTCATGTCCACCTCATCAATACCTATGTTTTGTCTATATCGGTATGTTTCAGCCTCGGAAAGAGTCCTTATGTTGACGGGCATAGATAAGTCTATGCCCTCAGAGTTAGCAACCGTTCCCCTTTCAACATGTCAACATGGATAACCACACACTTATCCGTCCCCAACTCTAAAATCACAAGTGATGTTTAGCTATTCTATAAGATTGAAGCGACTGGAGGCGAAAAACTTGAGATCATCCATATAGAAAAGGTGGGTCACATTTGTTCTTCCTTTTCGAAGCTGAAATACCCTCCCGAATCCCTTCATTAAGGTAATGAGAAGGTTCAGAGAGACGTAAAACCAGATTGGACTCAAGCAATCACCCTGGAAGCCACCCCTTCTCATCCTTATGCGGCTTTCCACAGCCGTCATTCGATCACCTAATGACAAAGAATCGTACCACATACACTTCCCGAGGAAGTCTCCAACTGTACAGTCAACCTTGTACAGCTCGAGGCTCTTTAGCCATGTATGGGGCACCGAGTCGAATGCCTTTCTATAGTCTATCCAGGCGGCGGAGAAGTTGCGACGGTTGTATTTAACCACTTTGCCAATGACCGCGTCAATGATACTTTGGTTCTGCGACCACCGTCATGACAGCCATTTTGAGCGCGCGACATCATCTGATTTCAGTTCAGGTGACGAGTGATTCTCGCGCTCATAATGGATGTTAGTATCTTGTATATGGTGGGTAGACACGTGATGGGGCGTTATTTGCTCGGGTCTGTGGTATCCTGGTCTTTAGGGACCAAATGACTGATCCCAGTAGTGAAGAGGCTCGGGAGCGACTTCTGGTCGAGAGCCTCTTGAAACTGTTGGGCAAGCACAGCGTGACACACCACGAACCCCTTTAGCCAGTAGTTGTGCAGTCTGACAAGTCCCGGACTTTTACAGTTCGGGCCTTTACGGGCTGCCTCAGCTACATCTTCCGGCGTTTGGATGACGGGGTTCATGGGCGTAATACTCGCACACTGACTTGCCACAACTTCTGTCCGAGGGCCCTCGTTTCCTTTGTGTAAAATTATAAATAAGTAATTTATTAAAGGAGTCTTTCCAGATCTGTGGAAGCTTGCAAAAGTAGTACCAGTCTTTAAATGAGGTGATATTAATAATGTTTCGAAATATCGACCTCGATACTCTCTAAATTAGCCAAGCTTCTTGAATCAATTGTTTGTCCTTACATTCAAACCTATTTCCGACAATTTATGACTGCACGGTTTCGTGAAAAATAGTTCAATTTTACCTTATTTTGTAACTTTTTTCTAAGATCTTGTAGGTGCTATTGACAATAGAAATCAAGTTTGTGTTATCTATATTGGTTTATGAAGGCCTTTGACAAAGTTTCACATTAAATTTTGTTAAGAAAATTAAACGTTTATGGATTCACAGGAAAGATTTGGGATTGGCATAAGTCTTATTTAAGTAATCGTTCATTCTATGTAGTCTTGGATGGGTTTAACTCTGATACTTACGATATAACATCTGGTATGCCGCAAAGATTTTATCTTGGGCCCATTCTTTTTAACATCTTCATCGACGATATAACTGATGGTTTTATCTACTCTAAACCTTATCTTCATGCAAATGACTTAAAATTTTCTCGTGAAATTGTTAATAGGCTACACTGGTGTAAAGAGAACTCAATTAACCAAAATGTAAATAAATGTTTCCATGTTAAATTTTGTCAAAATTATAACTTTATAAGCTCGCATTATATAATAGATGATTCTATTTTAGGTGAAGTAGATACTGTTTTAGATTTAAGGGTAATGTTTGACCGAAAATTGACATTTCTTCCACATTATGATCATATTGTTAAGATAGCATCAAAAATACTAGGATTTATTATTAGAAACGGTAAATTTTTTCGCAGTTATCAAACAATAATATAATTCATTTATTCGTAGCACTCTTGAGTAATATAGCGTAGTATGGAGACTGCAGTATGCTACCCATTATTTGCGGCTGGAAAAGATACAGAAGAGTTCCTATGGCACCTGGCGTACTAGAGTAGAGTTCCAGTAGACTGGAATGGCACGAAGAAGCTTCTCTTACTCTTACTCCTACAGACTAAAATATTATAATATGAACGCTTTTGAAAAAAGCAAAGCTATTATCGACCTAACTTTTAGTTTCAAAATTTTAAGAAG